GAGCTGGTGACGTGCATCAGCTTCCTCCTCTTTGCCTCCTCAGGAACTTTCTCTTTCCCCCGAGGCTCTTTTGGCTTCTCCTGCCTCTGGGGAGCCCCCTCTTCGGAAGCCTTTGGTGTGCTATCCTTGGAAAGGCGTTCCACCCTGTCTCGGACCTCCTTGGCCCGACTAGACCCCAGCTTCAGGGACCTCGCCCTGACAGTGGTGGTAGCCTTCAGAATTGTAGCCATGCCCGGAGCTGGGTACTCCCTCCTCTTGAATTTATCTGCATAGCACGTCAGGTCAGTACATCAGTATCCAAACAAAAGGATAAGAAAATTTACAACTATGGGAGCTTCGTACTTCTGGAAGCCATCAGTCCAAAATCCAGGAAGTAGCGACTCCTGTCGATCAGGTGGTCAAAGTGGCGGAGCTTCAGAGGCCTCTTGTAGATGTCCTCTATCACCTCAAACTCTTCCTTGTTGAGCTCGAACCTCGTACTACAATCTGTAACGAAAGCCCTAACAGTTAGAAAAGTTCAAGTGTTCAATTCAGAAGTACAAGCAGGGGCTGGGAGACGCACGAGTTTCGTAGTACTGGGTCGGCACTGTGCAAGAAAGGGCCTTGTCCCCCTCCACTGCTTGCCATTTTCCTCGCACCCAGAACCAGGACTCCTTCCACCCCTTGATGGAGGAAGGCAGTCCCACCACAAAGGGTGCATGAGCCCCCCAAGGTGTAAGGTAATACCACCCCCTGGACTCCTTCCCCATGATCCGAGGCTGGAAAAGGGTCATGAATACATGAAAATGCATGTACTCCCCAAGTGACACCTCCTTCCACAAGAGGTACGAGCCGACCAACTGGCTCCACCCATTTGGTAGAACTTGGGTCAACGACAACATAAAATTCCTCAACACCGCCCTAAAGAAGGGGTGCAAAGGAAGACGCATACCTGCCTTAAAAAGGTATTCACTGACTGCCACACAACCAGGCCTCAGATAGCAGGCCCGCTCGTTCGGCTCGGGAACTAACATTTCTATGGTGTGGGGGACACTATATCTCTCCCTGATCTCCCCCAACCTCTTCCATGTCATACTTGAAGGCACCCTAGACGCGCCCCTAATCTCTCCCAACCTCTTCCACGTCATACTTGAAGGCACCCTAGACGCCCCCACTCTTCGGTATAATCTACTGGGTCCTCGGTCATGGCATACCTATCAGCTTCGGCATCCCTCCTCTGACTGACCCTTTAATGTAACGACGCTACAGTCACCAGCTCCCTACCCGAGGACTCCATTTCACAAAATTAACACAACAAAAAGGGCCTTTCTGCGAATAATACCTAAGGGAAGAACTACGTGAACGGAGACAGGCCGAAAAATCAAAGAACGGGCAGCCTCGACGCCGAAAAGTTCAAGATTTTGAGAGAGAATCAGATTGCAAGTGTTCAAAAATCCTGAAAAATAGAATTTCTCACCTTTTATAGAGGTCCAGGACGAACCCCAGCCGTCAGATCGAATCTCAGTCAATCTGAGCCCTTCATTGTAGATCAAATCCGAGGCGTTGAATTCAAACGATTTTTCAAACCTGCGCCTCAGATTCCAGCGTGCCTCCCATCCAACGCGTCTGCTTCTAGAAGCTCCAGCTGCCTTCATAATTGTGTTTTTAATTTGACAGCAGTAGGCGTCTTGGAAGTCGTACGGGTCAGCCACTTTTCCTCGAAAACAAGCACAAAACATCAAATCATTGGCACAGCTATCGACGCACAATCATTCCCATTGAGCCTCGTTTTCAACTCAACAATCAGCTAACAAGCCTCGCAAGTTCGGTTCCCCAACCACCTCGCTCCTTTTCAACATTCAGCCAACAAGTCTCGCAGGTTCGGTTCCCCAACCACCTCGGCTTCCTCTTCAACATTCAGCCAACAAGCCTCGCAGGTTTGGTTTCCCAACCACCTCGGCTTCATCTTCAACACAGCCTCGGTCTCTTCATCGTTCACCTCTAGCAACACATCTCTAACTCCAACCATGACATAAATATCTATACTTGGACTTCGGGGACTATTATTTGGGATTCAAAAATTCCTTCAATTTTTATTTCATTAAAATCCACGCATTACATAAATGACCATACTTGGACTTGGGGGACTATTGTTGCGTATTGTCATACTTGGCCAACCTACCTGGGCCAATGGCCCACCTACCTGGGCCAATGGCCCACTCAGGCCGAACCATGTGACACTCCAACTGAGGTGGTATATATTGCCGAGGTGGGCTATGGCCGAAGCCCTTCAAATCGAAATCCACTAGCCGAGACGCCCTTTTACCGAGGTCTGTGAATGTAGCCGAGGTCCACATGCTGAGGCCTATGAGCCGAAGCCATGATGCTGAAGCCAGTTGAAGTTAGCTGAAGCCCTCAAATGGAAGTATTGTATGAAATGGATGAAGCCCCGAAGCTGATGCAGGAGCCTCCGAACCACAAGGGAGCATCCTCCATAGTCACTTCTCCCAAGAGATCGCCTACACAAAGATCTTATTCGAATGATTGATGGAGCATTTGTCATAAGCATAAAGGTCAAGTCTTGTCACTAGTATGGAGGCTTTGCACAAGTAATAAATGTGCAGCAAGCTAGCAAGTCAAGCCCCATGCCTAGGATAAGATGCTTGAATCGAAGAGATAAGGCCACGTGTCACCTCATCCAAGGGCTCCCATTTCACATGTATCACTATAAATACTTCCCTTGTGTAACATCAAAAGGCTAATGCAAGAATCAATACAAAGAACTACACTTTACTCAACTCTCTCTCTTTTACTTGCAATACAGAAATTGAGTTTATACATATTTACATATACATTTACGAGCACCGGTTGGTAATTATTATATAATCTGATCACGAACAACCCGTCGGATTCCGAACGTCACCGTCCCGCATTGTTGGGATACTCCCACGCCCTTTGAACCGCTCGTTTTAGATCGTCCACATGTTTTAGCATGTTAGACATTCGCCCACGTGTGCGCGGGTGGGACCGGCATCTGTTGACAACATTTTTTGGGGTCAACATACGATATATAAAATGAGTTAATTTCACCTTGGTCACTGAAGTATGTACAAAAATTAAATTAGTTTTTATTAGATTTTCTTACTTTCATAATCACCCAAATTAATAGCAGATATCACTCAGACAGTAGTATTGACGTCAAATCCAACATGACCCATAGCTGCCAAAATGAGTTAAAAGGTCCGTTTGGAATTTCTTTAGCTTTCTGGTCACTGAAATTAGGCAAAAATTACAAAACGGTCACTGAAGTTTAAAAGTTTCAGTAATGGTTACTTAAGTTTCCCGACGCTTTCAAAAATGGTCACTAAAATTTTGATTTTTTAGGCTACTTTTGCGGCAATTTTTCGGCCATTTCCGATCACCGATACCGTCAAATTTTGATAACGTTGAAAAGACCACAATGTCCTCTTCAATTACCACCCAAAATCTCCCCATAATTCCAAGGGATTCGACCAGAATCGTTGCAAAATTCGCCCAAAAAATCGGAAATCTATCCAGATTTTCAGATTTTTTGGGCCAATTTTGCGGCGATTTTTCGACGACTTCCGACGACCAAAATTGCCGTATTTTGATACCGTTGGAAAGCCCACAATATCCTTTTAAATTACCATCCATAATATCCCCCAAAATCCAAAGGATTTGGCCGGAATAAACCCACAAAGTTGGCTATCCAAAAAGGCGAAAATGTGGGTTGATTTTTAGGCTACTTTTGAGGCAATTTTCCGACAACTTCCGACCACCAATGTCACTGAATTTTGATACCGTTGGAAAGTTTATAATGTCCTCTTCAATTATCATCAAAAATATCCCCTCAAACTCCAAAAGATTCAGCCGGAATAAACCCACAAATTTGGCTACCCGAAAAGGCAAAAATCTGGGCAGATTTTTCAGATTTTATGGACTACTTTGAGGCAACTTCCGGCAACTTCTAGCCACCAATACCATTGGATTTTGATACCATTGGAAAGCCTACAATATCCTCTTCAATTATCATGAAAAATATCCCCCAAAATCCAAGGGATTCGGCCGGAATAAACCCACAAATTGGCTACCTGGAAAGGCGAAAATCTGGGCAAATTTTTCAGTTTTTTGGGCGACTTTCGCGGCAACTTTTCGACAACTTCCGACCATCAATTTTGCCGGATTTTGATATCGTTGGAAAGCCTACAATCTCCTCTTCAATTACCATCCAAAATTAGCAGGTTTGGTGGTCGGAATTCACAGGAAAATCGCTGCAAAAATCACCAAAAATCTGAAGATTTTGGCAGATTTTCGGATTTTTTTTGGCGATTTTTGCGGTGATTTTCCAGTCAAATTCCTTGGAATTATGGGTAGTAATGGAAGAGGACATTGTGGGGTTTTCAACGGTAACAAAATTTGGTGGTATCGACGATCGAAAATGATAGAAAATTTGTCGCAAAAATAGCCCACAAAACTGGAAAAAAGTTTCAGTGAGCGTTTATGAAAATTTTTAAACTTCAGTGATCATTTCTGAATGTTTTTAAACTTCAATGACCGTTTTTGCAAGTTTATAAACTTCAGTGACCATTTTTTAAATCGCTCCAAAACTTAAGTGACCGTTACTGAAAGTTTTAAATTTCAGTGACCGTTTTGTAATTTTCTCTATAGTTCAATGACCGTCTTTAAAATGTAATTTTCTCTATAACTTTTGAGAAAAGCTACATTGATTTTTTTTTGAAAACTAATTTCATTTTAAAGGTACTTTAAGAGAAAATCACTCTGAACTATCTTTTTCTAAAAATTATTCTAACTAGAAAAAAAATTCTTTCATAAAATTAGCCAAACGAATTTTAAAGTAATTTTTTATCCCTAAAATTGTTTTTGATTTTTCAAAAATCATGCGAATTGAGCCATAAACGTCTTTACTTCCCTTGTCAATTTCATTTTTTGTACTAAAAAACGAATCAACGGTAAAAATTCAAATTCATTTCTAACCCATGTAAGAAATCCAATATTCTACCCTTTTATTTGGTACAACAAAACAATAATTCTAAAATTACACAAATAGTCATTCATTGTATATCCCAAACATCAAAAATCTCAATCATTTTCTTCCTATTCCGTACACAACCTCACTCATCTCAAATCAATTTCTATCCACTAAATAATATAAATTTCCAAGAACTTTCCCAAGCTAATATAATTGACGAGACAAAATTCAATAAAGAAAAAATATTAAATTGACTGCAACCTTATCAACGAATACAAATACTGCATGGCAATGTTGCACCGTTACAGGTATAGCTATGTGGAGTGACAAAATTGGTCAGGTCACTTTGAAGAGATCGACACTTTTTTTCCTTCTATAGAGAACCTGTCACTGCCTTCGAGCTGCAGGGAAAAAATAGAAGTCAGTACTCACTTTAGGAATCTAAAACCTGGAGTAGAAAATTTAGCATTTCCTGTGCCAATGAGAATACCTTGTGTTTAAGAAACGTAAGCGCTTCCTTCTTAGATGTAAAGCTGGAAAAAGTAGAAGGTGAATGCTCGTCGATAAGAGCTTTGAGCTGCTTCAGCTTTAAAGACTCCCCAGGCACCTGCAGCAGGTAGTCACTCAGCAAAAGAAACAAGGCCATTAAATTTCAACAGTTTCAAAATCTCAGGGGTAAGTACCTGCTGAAGAAGCCTTCTACATAATTTTTTTAGCTTTGGCTTCAGTTCATCGTCTTTTTCCATCTCTACATTTTCAACTTGTTTCCTTTTCACTGAAGAACGGGAATCAGAAGAACCCTCGTCATCACTGTCATCAAAAGTTGTCTTTTTCCCCTCAAAGAAGCAGCCATGGATTTTTTTTGGACGGTCTTTGATACCAAGCCCTTGTTTTCCAGTGGTGGCTTTGTCCTGAAAAAAAACTCTTACTATCCAAGAGGTTTCCATATATAGGCCCCATTTGTTACCATTTTTTTCAAAATGCATTTTTCTCTCTTTTCTTTTCAACTACACATTCTTTATTAAAATAATATTACATGTAAATCAAAAACTTCTCATTATTTTTCATCCACACATTTTCCATCAATTTACTATTCAAAAATACATTTTTACATAAAAAATCTCCCAAACACCCTCATAGTAGTACTACTTTATTCAGTAAATGAGAGATATTTGAAGCATGCTCTATAGAGAATCACTTTCAATGAATGAGCAGAAATTAAAATATGATGCTGAAGAGCTTCATTTGAGCTGTTATGTTATAAACTAATAAAATAGAATTTCTTCTTTACATACATTCTGTGCCAGGACTAGTACTGAATTAACAAAATCTCAACCAAGTTGCCAGAATAGATGAATGAGAGAATGTTGGAATTAATTTTAGGGAACACGAAAAACCACCAAGAGAATGACAAGATACATACTTGTACGAGTTTGTAAAGATTTTCTTGATCCTCCTCATTGAATGTCACTCTCTGGTTAGAATTTTTGCCATTTTCAGAGAGAATGGCCTTCTTTCTCCGAGATTCAGCACCAAGCATACCTCCAGCGATGAACCCATGTTTATGACCCCACCACTCTGCGGGAATATCTTGATCCTTAACTGCCACAAGGCTTATGTGATGTTAAATAATTGTATTGTGTAAAAGAAAAAAGATACTCAGTGAGAGAACACATGATGTGAAAAAGATTGAGCTAAAGAAGCTTCTAGATTTATGTAAGATATCAACTATCCATGATGACATGCAAAGGAATCCGATAGAGAGGAGGATCAAACAATAATACAGTATTCAAAACTCAGGTGTCACAAAAAAATAACACACTTGTGTTCTGAACTTTTGACCCCATGCATACGCAAACAAAATATCCATAACACGATAGTGAATATTATAAAAAATAGACAAGAATAATAATAATAATATAGTTATGTTTTATCTAGACTCAGATAATACCATGTATTGGATATATCGAGTTCACTAGTAAAATGTCTTCAAAATCTATTATGTGTTTCCGGTCATTCTGTTTGTTTATTTAAATTTTTGAAAACAGAAGTTATAAGTTACACGATAATCCCAGCTGGAAACAAACATCATATAGTTTACAAACATAATACCAGCTTGAACTCAAGCTCGAATAATTGAGCTAAAATTTCTAATGCACTTTGACTTTCAGCTCAAGAATTAAGATCTTTCCAGTTTAAGCCTGATATGATAGTATCGTGAAAGACAAAGTGTTGCACTCAGGACATAAGAAGTGCAAGTTGCCCATATTAAACAAGAATGATGTCTATACGGACTAGGTTGATGTGAACAGACCGATTTGCTAACACATGTTATTAGAACTTCAACCTTGTCAAATTCAAGTTTAGTATATAGAGTAACAAAATCATTCTTAATTGTCAAACAGCTTGAAACAGAGAAATTTACATGCCAGTTCGTAGATAAGATATTTACTAATCAAATAACACAGCCTATCTCCAAAGCCAGTATTAGTTAGTTAAATGAGGATATTGTCATATCCTGTTCAAGAAAACAAAAGCTAGAACATAAGCTATTTCTCTTAATCAGAGTGATTTTAGAAGCCATAAATCACAAGTGAAAAAGTCTTAATGGTGTTTACACACAAATTTTATCGAATAAAAATAAATAAGAATACCCCACATTGCAAACTTATGGATCTAGCAATGTGGATCTAGAAGTTACCATCAATATCTGGAACATGGACTTCCATTGACTCTGCTTCCTTTGATACATTGTCATCGTGACTTGTATCAGGAGACTTTACTTTCTTTACCTGCAGAGTATAATGGCAAGGCAAACTTAACAACACAGAAATATAACCAAAAGATAAGAGAGGAACAATTTTCTAGGAGTCCTCTACAAAGTTCAAACTGCAGTATGAATTAAGGAGGAAATACTGTTTCAGGGCTTTTGTAAGCCAGTCAAAATGGCTTGTAAACCTTTTAGATTTCTTAAGTGTTAAGTAAAATTTTCTAGCGAGGCCTCATATGACTAAAAAAGGCCTTTCGGCGGTTATTAGCCTAAAAAAATGCTAGTTTGCCCAGCTTTACTCTTTATTTTTTTAAGCACAACAGTGTTGGCCAATTAAAAGACAATATTATTGACTTTTATCTTTTGAACTCCATGAACTACCCCTCATCCCTAGCCACCAACCCATTCCCACCAGCGCAGCATCCACTCTTGGCAGCCTCCTACAATTGGCAGTTGTTGACTGCCATCTTTAGAACTTCAGAAGTGTAGCCTCTAAGCATTCAAAAAATGCTGTTTTTAAATTTCACAAATGAATGGAATATAACTAGTGCCTCAGGAATTTCATCTCATTTCACCTCCACTGGCCTTTCAACATTCGCAGCATAAATATGACATGGGTTCCAATTTTCAGAAAGCAAAGAAATACTTGCAAAATGTTATGACCCACCCCTAGCCAAATGGGTGAGAAACCAATAACTTGGATATAAAGGGAGTATGTCTACTTAGATAACAAATTCTACAATAAAGAGAAATGGGACCAAAGTAATCAAAAAGAAACTTACAAGTATTCCTTCAAGATCCTGAGAAGAATATGCTTGGACAAGTTTCCCCTTCTCTCTTCTCTTATACCTGGAGATAGAGAAATCAAAGAGGACAACAATCATCTACCACGTAATAAAAATAGTTACAATTAATTATGGAGCAGTAAGTAAAAGAAACAGATATAATAAACTGACCTTCCTTGTGGTCGAGTAACTTTAACAGCTGCATCGTGATTGTCCTTAGGAGCCTTGTTCTGTTTATCTGCTTTCACTTTGTCTTTTTTATCAGCTGTTTTGTAGCCATAATCAGTAAACACACTATATGATACAGACACCAATTCAATTTTACTATCATTAAAATGTACCTTCATCATTGTTAATTTCAATTGCTTGCTGCAGAATCATCCAGACAATAAGTTAATTATGAGAATCAGCAATGATGTGGATAACATTTCATCTATTGATGGAAAATATGTAAAATTTACCACTTTCAATTTCTTGAGGATGCTATCAAACTGTGTGGTGTCAAAGGCCCAGGCATTTGGCTTCTCCGTGCCTATACCTAGAATAGGCTCCAAATAAACATATACTAAAAACCTCTTCTAAATATCAGAATCATTGAAGAAAAGAGCGAAAATTAGATGCAAAACATATTGCAATTTACATATATTTGAAGTTTGAATATATGATTAGTGGGTAAATTTTAAACAAAACCTAAAGTGTCTTGCTTGTTCTCCACCCTGACGTATCCTTTGATCCCTTGCTTTTCTTTCCCAAGCCCTTCTCCTTCTTCCCATCCCTGTCATTTATATTCCAATGATCAAGTTTCATCCACTTGCACAAAGGGTAACAAACTCAACAAGAACATATAGATATAAACTTGTACTTTTAAATTTTTTGGGAAAGTTATACAGCAATAGAAAAAAGGTTTGCAACATAAAAGAATATAAAAGAACCAGCTTGCTTAAAAAATATGCAGATAATTTACCCCAGATAGAAATGTTTGCCATGCTCTTCACAGTTATCACGATCAAGTACAGAAAATTCATTCAATTTCTCAAGGAATTGCAGTAAATCAATGTCACCACATGCATCCTTCAAATTGGAGCCTGGAATTAAAACTAGTAATGATTTATTTTATTTTTTTCAAATTTTAATTTTATGTTACCGAATTCAGATCACTAATGCCCAATTCAGCGTCGTCAAGCGCAGCCTATATGCAAATTATTCTAAACTAAACAAACTTTGCTATAAAATCGTAACTATAAATGCTATGCAAATACATTTAAATCAACATAGGCGAGAACGGAGTTTTACCATCTGTTTCATGAGGCGGAAGGCGGCAGAATTCCGATCGATTCCAACATAGCGAAGAGGAGCTTCAGGTGCCGACATACTTTTGCGATCCAAATCTGAGCGAACTCTACTCTCCCTTTCTCTCTCTACAGTTCAGTCGCAACGACAATTGAATGCTCAATTTGGGAGAGAGGGCTTTACAGAAGAGGCAGCAAGCAGCTTAAAACCTAGACACTGGAACTTGGGGCAGATAGACGGACAAGATCTCATCTCCTTTGGATCGACGGCTGAGAATTACAGTCTGTAGACATCACCAGCAAGTTGGATAAAATTGTTCTATTGGTCCCTAACGTAATATTCAATTATCAAATGGGTTCTAAACGTATTATTCAATTCCGTCATCAAACTTCATTTTGAAACAATCAAATTATAAATCATGTAATGAAAAATAATGTGTTCTAAAACTCAAATTTATAACTTTTAATCACTTGTAAATAACTCCATTTTAAATGATGAATAAAAGGGCAAACAATGTAAATGTCACAAGAAAAATCCAACATCAATATCTAACTAAAATACAAATCCAACATAGTGTGTTCAAGAAACCAAAACCTAGAAAAATATGACGTCATAAACTAGACTTGTAAATAAATTTGAGAATTTTATTAGACACGGACGACATGTAAAGAAAATAAGATATAAAATCTAATAATATCATTTTCGTATATAATAATGTTAAAATTTATGTGCTGATACTCAATTCATATTGTAGCTCATGTTAAATTACGTAGTATTATCTCAAGAAAAATTGTCAGCTTAAATCAACGTAGCCAAAAATCCGGCAGTAAAAATTAATTATATGAGGATTACCGTATTCATTTTATATTTTTCGGTGATAAGTGGTGGTGCATGGTGAAATATGTTGGAATTTTGTATATAAAATTAGTTTTGACCAATTCTTAATTAATTAAGTGGAAGTTGTTATTTGGTGAATGAAAAATTAAGTCAAATTTAAGCCACTTAAATATGTGAATTATTGAAAAATTACATAGAATATTATGGAATATTTTAGAAATTATTTGGCTGAAAAGGTGTATCTTTCCTTATGAAAGATTGTGATTTTTAGCATTATCATTTTTCAAAAAATGTGTCTCTTCAAATATTGAGATTAATTCCAATAGTTTTGTCTCTTCCATAAGTTGTGTCTTTTGAAACAAATATTTTTCACATCTATATATAGACCCCATGTATTTATTCATTTCATAATTGTATTATAATGCTAATGCATATTCACTTCAAAATTATGCATTTATTTGGAGTCAACTTTCATAAAGAGGGTTTAAAACATAAGTATGTTCGTTGGTCTACGTAATTTGGAGTGCTCCTATTGCAGACGGGTCATTATATCTTGGGAAACGAATGCTGAAAAATCGTTAGCATCAGTGTGGGGTATTATCGTCTTAAGGACAAAATAGTCAAACTCTTGCCTCGACCAAATTCATATTCATACATTTCTCTTTTCTACTTTACGTATTTGATTTTAGTAAGCCAAAATTCTATCCGATTTTATACACATAAATTGTATGTTATTTAAATATAATTTATGCCTGTCTATTTTTACAACAATCTTAAGACGATAATTATTTAATGTGTATATTATATTTTATTTGCAATAGAAATCAAGATATTCAAGAATAAAATTCATAAGACAGATTTTTCTGATATATCATGATTGTGGTAAATATGTTCTATTGCAACATTTTAATTAGAAAAATTTATGTTTCCATCACCTTGTTAAATAAGGCGTTAAAATAATACTCCAATTTTTGTTCATGGGTAATGAATATGTGTATTATAATGATTAAATGCACAGAATTGATGGTGATTTTGTATTGTGGAACCATTCAGATGTGATTTGAATTCATTACAATAAATATCATATTGCTTTACAAAGAAATTGGAAGTATATATAATTGAAAAGGGGCGTGACTTTTTAAATTACTAGTCAAAGTTGAACGTACATTGCACGTTATTCTAAAAAAATTTATAAGTGATGTAAAATAAATATTTGGTACCAATTTGTTGGAAGATTTGATGAGTCTCGGACGATTTAAAGAAAATAAAATTTCGCATGGAAATTTAAGAGAAAAAAATTGTACTTTCAAAACTCAATTTCTATTATTCAAATTTTGTATTGATGAAATACTATAAATGAACAATCTTTTTATATTACATTTTATTCATAAAAATTAATTGTTAAGACACGAATTTAAACAACCATTAACATTTTTCGATACATGAATATGAATAAATTTATCTATAATAACTCTAGATTCATGTAAGTTCATCGAGTGAAAATTCGTTGAATCTAGGTTAATGTGAATGTTAATTACTTGATTAATTAATAACACAAATTTCATAAATGACAATAATTATGTAGTATTTATTACATATCGAAAAACGAAAAATAAAGTATTATTGAAATAAATAAATTGTAGGGAGGTTAAAATTGTCCAAAAATAATTCTCCTTTGATGTCATATTTTAATAAATTATAGATTATAAATATCTGTTTATTTTATACAACTACCATGCAAACCATTGTGAATGTTCATATTGAATTTTTGTGCACAATTGATCTACCTAAATGTTTATTACTTTGTGCATTAATGTGATGTATAAATAATGTACGAAATGACTTGAGACTGGATGTTTTAGTGAAAGATTGTGTCTTTTCACTTAATTTGAAGTAAATTGTTAATAGTAACTTTTGATATGGAAGAATAATCTTGAATTTATGCAAATTATTATAGGCAATTTAAGTGGTAAAAGTTGCGTACTTTCATATCCCCTTTCCTATAAAAGAGATAATGCAAAAAAGTAATGTTCACCTTGATACAGAGGATTCACACAGAACTGGTTTAGTACTGTAGATAAACTAGTTTCAGCCTTCATTGTTGAAAATTTTGTTGTTGTCTGGCATGTGTACTATTTTATTGGATTTATTTGTTTTATGTGAGTGGATGACTGTAGCTTATAAAAAGGGTATTTTGTGACGGCATAAAATGTCATTCACATTATTAATGAGAGTATTTAATGATTTTGTGGAAGAATGGTAGAGAAAAATATTTATTAGCCTTCATTATTGACTTTTATATTCTTTGTGTCAGAAGAAAATATTTATTTAGCCTTCATTGTTGAAAATTTTATTGTTGTCTGGCATGTGTACTATTTTATTGGATGTATTTGCTTTTTGAAAATCGGTTACTGTAGAGGCAAAAAATGGTTTCTTGTGGCGACTAAAAATATTATTTACATTGTTGAATTTAATCAGCCTTCATTGTTGACTTTAGAAGGCGGTACTTATCTGTCCAAACAAAAATATCAGTATGATTTTATCACATAAACTATCGATAAATTGAAAGAAAACTTTCAAAATGACAAACTGGTTTCATTATAGAGAACTGAGTTTCGTGAAATTTTTCTCTTAATCGAAAGGAAGACATTGTTCTTTTTGTGTTGACAAAAGTCGTAAATTGTTTGTAAAATAAATACTTTTTCTGTGGACAATCCATCAAATTGCAAAAAGAAGTAAAAAAATTTCTATATCGATAGAGGAAAGGGACTTCAAGCGAGAGATTGAGGAGTTGAAGGCTAAGGTGAAGTTTCTGGAACTTTTTTTTTTCCACTTTTGTCTTACTTTCAAATTTGTTCATTATTGAGTTTTATAAAAATAATCTTTAACCTTTTGTTGCTAAATCTGTTTGTTGAGTTTGTTTTTATTTTTGAAAATTAGTATTTACTTCATACTTCTTTTAACATTTGATAAACTGTAATGGTTATTCATAGATCAGTTATTTTTGTTTCATGATTTTGAAAAGCAGGGAAGTGATGATTTTTTGCTAAATTTGTGAGTGTTGTTTTAAGGATTGAAGACTTGTTAAAATTATTCTTCAAGATTTATTATTTTCTTTTTGTAGTGCATTAATAAATAATTTTTTGTAATAATGATTTGATGGAATTATAAAATAGCTTAGAATGAACGAAAGGAAAAGAAATAACATATAATGAAGAATAATATGATAAACTATTTTTTAAGACATTTAGAAATTTACAACGACAGATTGAATAACATTATCAAATGTTTTTACTGTGTGGACATATTATCTATTATAGAAGTGAATGGATAAAAATTAGAAAAAGTAGAGAAAGAAGAATGCATTAAATGTAGTTTGTCAAAAACGAAAATATTGGCTTGGGAAATGAGTATTGTGTGAATCATGTATCTATACTATTGTGGATTAATGAAAAAATTTGTGCGTATGATTTTTGATATAATATAGGAATAATGACAGTTTTGAAAAGTTATTATATTTAAACTATATGTTTTTGTAAGGTGAACCGTCTGAAATTTCAAATTTTTTATTTGTTTAATTTTTTCTGTCTTTCGTTTTAACTATAACTGTAACTAAACTATTTAATTGTCTAGTATGAGTTCAAGCATCTAAGAAAGTTAAAATTTAGTTTATTTTTAACTTATTTATTTTGCTTGTTTATTCGTATAGTTAAATACTTTTTTTACCATTAATTGTTGTTTACTGTTCTCTTTGTCGTTACTTAAAGCATATTTATATTTCTTATTAATATTTAAATTTTGTATTATTGATGTTTATATAATTTTTACATTGTAAAGAAGTTGAATGAATTTAATATATCTCTAACAGTTTGTTGTAACTAATTTTTGATTTGTATATATTTTGGTTTTTTTACATGAATGGTTTAACACGTTTGCTAATAATGTTTATGGATTATTTTAGACTGTATTGCTTAGATTAGAGTTGAAATATTTAGTAGTTCTTTCTAATATCGTGATGGATATTTTGGAAACGCCTATTCATGAAGATCATGTTATTGTTAACTTCAATGCTGCGTCTGAAAGTGGGAACGAGTTGCACAGAGCCTTCAGTCGCCACCAACGAGTTCAAAGAGAGAGAGAAAGGCGAATAAGATTTAGAAATAATTGTAGTGATTATCATAAAAGAAGAAATGATCCTATGTTACCGGAAAATAATCATTTTGTTGTTACTCAGCTACACGAATCCATAATACATCAAAATTCTAACGCTTCAACTTCAAATAAAAAATCACATAATATTTTTGATTCTGAATGTGAAATATCTTTCAAAGGATTGAACATACCATCTACTGCACAT